CACTCCTCTTAGTTCAGAGTGATTATCTTTTTTTAACATTTGCATGTGAGAGAGAACATGTGGTGTTTGTCTTTCTGAGTATGGCTTATTTCACTTAACATAATGGTCTCCAATTCCATCCATTTTGCTGCAAATCTCAGGATTTCATTCTTTCTTATGGTTGAAAAATACTCCATTGTGTACATTTATCGCATTTTTTTACCCTTTTATCCATTGATAGACATCAAAGTTGATTCTGTATCTTGGCTATTGTGAATAGTGTTGCAATGAACATGGGCGTGCAGTATCCTTTTCACATGCTATTTCCTTTCCTTCAGATATATCCTCAGAAGTGGGGTAGCTGAGTCCTATGTTAGATCTATTTGTAGTTTCTTCGAGGCACCACCATATTGTTCACCATAATGGCTGTACAAACTTGCATTCCCAACAACAGTGTTTAAGAGGTCCCTTTTCCCCGTGTCTTTGCCAGCATTTATCATTTTTTTGTCTTGAAAGAGCCATTCTTATTGGAGTGAAATGATACCTCATGGTAAATTTGATTGGCAATTTCCTGATGGCTAATGATTTTGAGCATTTTTCATAAATTTTTGGCCATTTGTATTTCTTCTTATGAAAATGTCTATTCATGTCCTTTGCCCATTTTCTAACTGAATTATTCAGGTTTTTGCTGAGTTATTTAAGCATCTAAAATGATACCCATTGAAGTGAAATGGACACTATGAGAGACAATGACATGATCAGCCCTTGTCTAGACTGTTGAGGAACAACTTACTATTTTATTCCTTTTAGTATTTTTGTTGTTGTTGTTGTTGCTCTGTTTGTTTTACATAAGACCACTGAGAGCCTTAATTTTCTTTAGGTCAATTGTTTTTTAAGATTTATTTTATTTGTTTGAAAAGCAGAGTTAGAGAGTGGAGAGACAGAGAGAGAGAGAGAGATTTTCCATCTGCTCGTTCACTCCCCAAATCTCTGAAATGGCCAGGGCTGGCCAGATCGAAGCCAGGAGCCAGGAGCTTCTTCCAGGTCTTTCATGTGGGTGCAGGGACCCAAGACTTGGGCTGTCCTCCATTGCTTTCTCAGGTGTATTAGTAGGGAGCTGGATCAGAAGTGGAGCAGCCGGGGCCGGCGCCGCAGCTCAATAGGCTAATCCTCCGCCTGCGGTCGGGGTGCCAGATTCTGTCCCAGTTGCTCCTCTTCCAGGCCAGCTCTCTGCTGTGGCCCAGAAAGGCAGTGGAGGATGGCCCAAGTGCTGGGCCCTGCACCCACATGGGAGACTAGGAGGAAGCAGCTGGCTCCTGGCTTCGGATCGGCGCAGCGCACCAGCCATGGTGGCCATTTTGGGGGGTGAACCAATGGAAGGAAGACCTTCCTCTCTCTCTGTCTCTCTCTCTCTCTCTCTCTCACTGTCCAACTCTGCCTGTCAAAAAAAAAAAAAAAAAGTGGAGCAGCCAGGACTCGAACCAGCACCCATATGAGATGCTGGCTCCACAGGCAGCAGCTTTACTGGCTATGCCACAACACGACCTCAAAGGGAAACTTAACACTCTTACTCATCCTACATGATATTGGCTGTGAGTTTGTCATATTCACCCTTTGTTATGTTGAGACATTTCCGTGATCTTAGAAGATTCCCTATTGCATAGATCTTAAAATTCTTTTTCCAAAATAAACTTAGCTTTGAATTCTATATTCCATGAGTATTTTGAAAGCTGCTTGTATTTCCTTTCTTTTTCTTCTCATGGTTTTTTTTGTTTTTTTTTTTTTTAGGTTTTATTTATTTGTAGTTAGAGGTCTTCCACCTGCTGGTTCACTCCCGGAGTGGCTGCAACAGCCAGGGCTGAACCAGGTCAAAGCCAGCAGCCAGGAGCTTCATCTGGTCTCCCACATTGGTGGCAGGGGCCCAAGCACTTGAGCCAACTCTGCTGCTTTTCCCAGGCCATTAGTAGAGAACTGGATTAGAAGGAAGCAGCCAGGACATGAACCAGCACTCATTTGGGATGCCAGTGTCACAGGTGGCAGCTTTACCCTCTATGCTACAACCTCTCCCTCTGTCTTGTATTTCATTATATAATATTTATTCATGAATTTCCACACTGTTTTTTCAGTTTTATTTAGCATTTTCTTCTGTATTTTGTAAAAAACTACTTTTTTATTTGAAAGGCAGAGAGAGAAACAGAGATAGACAGACAGACAGACAGACCTCCAATCCACTGGTTCACTCCCCAAATGCCCACAGTAGCCAGGGATGGCCAGGCTGAAGCCAAGGGCCAATATGTCAACCTGGGTCTCCCATGTGGGTGTCAAGGGCCCCAAGTACTTGAGCCATCATCTGCTGCCTTCCAGGATGCACATTCCAGGAAACTAGGATCTGAAACAGAGAAGCCAGGACTCGAACCCAAGCATATTACAAGGGATGTGGGCATCCCAAGGGGCACTTTAACCACTACACCAAACAAATTTAGCATTCAGAACAAAAGATACCATGAAAACCACATCCATAACAGACTCTCCCATTAAGTTAAACCCTCTCAAAAAATCTCAAATGTTCTTTCCAAAACCTGAAAGACAAGTCTATAAAACCCCAAGTTTTCACACAAGGCTGACCTGCGCTGTGACTATGGAGGTTACCCATACACAATATAAAGGGACTTCAAAAAGTTCAAGGAAAATGGTGCAAAAATTTATTTTCGGGTGCAAAAATTTATTTGGGTGCAAAAATTTTTAAATCCATGCATGATTTCTTTCATAATATGAAGTTTCCAAGAAACTTTTTTTTAACAATTTATTTATTTATTTGAAAGGCAGAGTTACAGAGAGGAAGAGGCAGAGGAGAGAGAGGTCTTCCCTCTGCTGGTTCACTCCCTAGATGACCGCAAGGGCCGGAGCTGTGCCGACCTGAAGCCAGGAGCCAGGAGCTTCCTCCAGGTCTCCCATGCAGCTGCAGGGGCTCAGGGACTTGGGTCATCTTGTGCTGCTTTCCCAGGCCATAGCAGAGGCCATAGAGAGCTGGATCGGAAGTGGAGCAGCTGGTCCTCTAACTGGCACCCATATGGGATGCTAGCACTGCAGGTGGCAGCTTTACCCACTATGCCACAGCGCCATCCCCTCCAAGAAACTTTTGATATACTATCTCATACAGAGTTCATTCTTGTTCCATAAATAATCTTGACTGCATCAGTTATGGATGTAGCACTTACTTTTGCTCATATAGAGAAGGGGGGGAGGTTTCCCTCGAATGTGATTCCTTAAGCACCAGTGCCATAGCTTTGCTTGCCTCCAAGAAGACAGCCCAAACAGGACGCTGGTCAACACTGCAGAAATGGAAACACCCTAAGGATGCACATCCAGTGAGGCCGTCACCCTCACTTCCCTGCTGGGCACTGGGGAAGTCCTCACCGCCCGTGTGTTCTGCAGGCGGTGAGCGCTCCACTCCAGCAGACTCGGTGATGCGACATGTCACCCCAGTGGACCAGGGCTGGGGCTGGCAGTTTCAGTCTGCCACACCTTCAGTGCCATCTGGGGCTTGAACAGCATTCTGACTGATTCAGAGTCTACTGCCACTTCACAAACCTCCCCAAAATGCAGCAGCTTAACAAAGAGAAAAATGGTGATTTGCTCCCAATCCTGGCAGGGTGAAGTGGGGACAGCTTGTCTCTCTCCACTGCTGCTGAGTGACTCGTCTGGGTCTGGATAATGAAGGTGGCGTCCCTCACACGTTGGGTGCCTCATCGCCTCATCTAAGGGCAGTAACACCAGGGAGGCTACTGTACCTCTCACTTCACTTGGCCTTGTGCATTCCCAGGCGAGCCCAACATTCCTGTACAGGACACCAGGGTTGGACGTAGATGCTGTCAGGCCACATAATAACTGTAAGAACCAACACCTCCTTCCATTCCATTCTCAGAGTCAAAGCCGGTCACCACAGCAGCCCAGTTCAGAGGCGGGGGAATTCACACAGGAGCAGATGAACCATTCGCAGACCTTTGGCATAAGGGAGGAAAGAGCAAGCAAAGGGAGAAAATTCAGGGAATTAAAGTGTCAGTTCACAGAGCATTCTAGAACAGGAGCTCTGAGAAGGCCTTGCCGAGAACGATAAGGCCAGGCAAGTCATGGAAAGATGGTCTGATGTCTGAGATGCTTAACTGGACAGCCTTGAAGTTGTGCGCAGAACACTGCGAGCCTCTGTCTCTCTGTTTCTGGGTGAAGACGGGAATCTGCAGTGTTCGGTGCATCCCCACGGAGGCTATGACCGAGTAAAGCACAGTAATGACCATGACCCATCACCGACAGAGTTACCCCTGGGTGCTGAACCGACCCTGAAAACAAGCACCGGCCCTCAGCTCCAGTGCTGCAGAGAAACCAGAGCTGTTCCAAGAAGCACACACCTGCCTTACCTTGTGTTTCATTTTCAGAGGCAACCTGTGTATTTTCTGTGGCAAGATGCTTTGAATTTTAAAGTAAGAATTGTAAGGTTGAGGATATCCTGAGATCCTCTTTATTACAGAAAACCCAAGGTCAAGAAAACAACTCAGGAAGTGGCAGCATTTTAGGCAGCCATTTGCAACGCCGGCATCCCGTACTGGAGTGCTGGTTTGAGTCCTGGCTGCTCCACTTCCAATCCAACGCCCTGCTAGTACTCCCAGGAATGCAGCAAAAGACCGCCGAAGTAGCAGAGCTCCTGCCACCCATGTGGGAGACGGAGATGAGGTCCCTGGTTCCTGGCTTCAGCCTGGCCCAGACCTGTCTGGGGCGGCCATTGAGGGAGTGACCAGCAGGTGGAAGATCTCACTTGCTCCCTCTCTCCCTGTTACTCTGCCTTTAAACAAATAAATCTTCAAAAGTCAACTGAAGGAAACAGAAGGACAGAGGGGAAGCGGGGTGGGCCCCATACAGACTCAGCAGCCGCTGGACGATTGCAAAGTGCCAGTGATGGAACATAAGGAACCACTTCCAAATTCCTCAGGTGCTGCATCTAATCCGTCTTCACTGTGTTCCCACAGCCACGGGACCCGATGTGCAGGAGAGGTCTCCGCTGCCGCCAACAACAATATCTGCGGGGTGGGAGTGGCGTACAACTCCAAAGTTGCAGGTAAGCTGGCCCTGGTAGACGGCAGGTGTCACTCTGGGCAGCTGGCCCCAGGAGGGATCACACCTGCTCTCCAGCTGGCTCAGGCCAGGCCCAGCAAAAAATATCCCTCTTGGGGCAGAAGCACTAGGATGCATTGATTTAGCAGGAGTGAAAAAATTCTGTGTGTGTTAACTTGCATGAAATATCAGTATAGTGTTGAATTGTAAGCATAAGATAAATACAGACAGCCCATGGATCATAAGCACCCAGTTTAAACTGGCCACACCCACATCACCATCAACACACAAGACGGCCAGCTCCCTCCCAGTTACTGCCCAAGTATACCAGGATAACCACCATCTTGTTTCCTAACAGCAAAAATTGGTGAGTGCCAGTTTGTGAACTTTTCTAAATGGAACTACACAGTCACTCCTCTTTGGTGCCCATGTTAATAACATTTTAATGAGTCCAGAATAAAAGGACATACAAATTCTTTGTAAACATACTCCAAACCCTTCAACTTTTGTGCATGATGAATCTCATCTTTAAGGACATATATTCTACCGATGAACTCTTTTTAACTTAATTTCATTTTATTTGAAAACCAGAAAGCCAGAGACACAGAGATCTTTCATCCACTGGTTCACTTCCCAGAGCAACAGTGTGGACTGAGCCAGCCCAAAGCCAGGAGCCTGGAATTCAATCCAGGTCTCTCACCTGGGTGGCAGAGACCAAACTGTGTAAGCCACCACTGACTGCTTCCCAGGGTGCACCGTGGTAGGAAGCTGAATCGGAAGTGGAGCCGTAACTTGAACCCAGGCACTCTAAAGCAATGCCAGCAACCCAAGCTCTCTTCCCCACTGTGCCAAATGCCCGCTCCTACCTAGTATCTTTTTACTGTTCACTGAAACGACTATTTAACGTTTCCTTTAGAAATGAGTGGCAAGTGGTAGACATATACGCTCCTCCATCCCCCAAAGTAAAGAGCTGGAGAGACAGAGGGAGGGAGAAGGAGAGAGAGAGACTCATAAGCCTTCAGTAAAACACCTGAGAACCCAGCGGCTCCTGGCTTATTCCGAGTGCTGCCTCTAATTGGTTCTTCACTTATTCTTAATTTATTCAGGCTGAGTCACCCAGCCTTGGTTTTCTTTTTCTTTTGCCTTCTCTTGTTTGTTGTTTTAACAGCAACTGTCTTGTTATTTTTTTTCCTAGCAATTTAATGGAACCGTAGACTTCCTTTGTGCTGACACTTGCATTTCCAGGGACCTGAATAGCACAAAAGTGACCTCAGCAGTCCCCCATTCACCGCTCCCAGCACTGTTTGCTGAGCGACTTGCCCCAGCAGGGTGAGAAACTGCACAAATGCAACGTCTGGAGATCTCTAAAATGCACACACAGTGCGCCTTGCCCCATCCCAGCATCAGCGTTAATATTTTATAAGCCGGGCTCCTGCTGGGGCAAATCAGAAGAGGGGAGGCTCTACTCACGGGGCAGAGCCTGGGTTTCTCCTGCCCCGGATTGCGTGGGCAAGGTGACTGGTGTTTCTGAACAGCGGGTTTGTAGCCAGACTGCCTGCAGAGTTGGGAGCAGCTACAGCTTCCGGGGGCCTGAGGGGCCGCCCTTTCCCTATCCGCTTCCACTCTCTCTCTCTCCTGTTACTTGCACTTCACACACCTGGACCGCTCACCAGATGCACCTAACTCACTCTCCTCTTCGTTTAGATTCGGGAAAGGCCAAGATCTGGGTGAAGCCAGAGGGAGGGGGTGGGGAAGGGAGGCGGAGCAGGGAGGGAAGTCAGCTGCTTTAGTGTCAGGCCCCAGGGGCTCAGGGGACCCCTTCAGAACTGACCCTGCAGGGAAGGAGGCTTGGGGACTTGACCCTCCCCCAGCTGCCATGTCCACTTGTTGGGGGTGGCTGCTGGGCCACCCACACCCGCCCCTGTCCAGCGTCCCTGGCTCTCCTGGGTTGAGCACAGCACCCCAGGCAAACAGCAGTGAGCCAGCCTGAGGACCCAGGCAGGGGGGGAGGGGGCCGCGACCTCTGCATCCCCTGCTGGGTGCAGCCTTACACCTCCAGACACCTTGGAGCCCTTGGGCCTCGCTGCAATGCTCTGAGCTTGCAGAAGCCAAAAATGGCGCCAGAAAAAGCGTGCCCAGCTTCCTAAAGAGCGTGAGCAGGCCACTCCTGGAACCCCAGCCGCGTCCTCTGTGCGGTGCACGCCGGCTCTGGCTGCTGTGCGACTGGGGCAGCTCCAGCCCCGTCCCTGTGACCTCCAAGGCTTCCTGCGAACTCTGGGTTCCTGGCAAGGTCATAACGAGTTCTTCTAGAAGGACGCCCGGCAACCCAAGGCGAGTTGCAGGCTCCTCGACCTTTCAGACTCAGGAGGGAACATTTTATTCATTCTGGATGGCAATTCTAAAAGTTGGCTGGTGTTTAATCATTTACTAAAAAATGCAAAAGCCGGCCTAAAAGCAGCCTAGCGTTCAGGAGCTGAGCTAGTGAGGTCTGGAGCGCCCTCTGGTGGCCATCTTGGATCATTGCTCGTTCCTGGCCGGCTCAGATTTAGGAAGGTGCCTGGCTTGTGGTGTGAAGTCTCCCAAAGTCTCTTCAAAAAAAAGTTTAAACTTACAGTGCTGTTCAACCTGAGCCAGAAATAAAAAGAAGACTCGAGATGAGATTAAAAGTTTATGAGATTAAAAGTTTATTCCTCTGAAGGGAAAAGAGGAAACGGAGCGCTGAGTTCCTCGTCTGTTGATAAACTGCTCATTTTTGCATCAGGGTTCTTCTTCATCGGTTTCCCGGCATCCTTAGCTTGTCTTTGATATTAGCCCCTGAGTCAGCACAAATAGCTTCTCCTAAAGTCTTCTTTAATTTTTATTTATTTGAAAGGCAAAGTAACAGAGAGGGAAGGAGGGAGAGAGAGACCTTATAATCACTGGTTCACAATACACACACACACACACACACACACACACACACCAATGGCTCCAATGGTCAGGACTGGACCAAGCCGAAGCCAGGAGCCTGGAGCTTCATCCAGGTCTCCCAAGTGGGTGCAGGGGCCAAGCACTTGGGCCATCTTCCGCTGCTTTCCCAGGCGCATGAGCAGGGAACTGGATCAGAAGTGGAGCAGCCTGGACACATCTTGACGCCCACATGGTGTGGCATAACCCACTGCACCACAGGTAGTGACTTAACCCACTGCACCACAGCACCGGTCCCAAAGTTCTGCTAACTTCCACACGCTCATCTGCCTGGAATTCCACCTTCAGATGTGGTGCCAGATCCACCTTGGTTTCCCTGCAGATGCGGAGTCCGTGTCCCCACCATCCTTTGACTTATGGTGCCATCTCTGCCGCATATTCAATTCCCACACAGACACAGGTCAACCTCAGGGTGCAGATGAGAGGTCTTCAGAAAGTTCATGGAAAATATGTATTATGAAATAATGATGCTTGGATTTCAAAATTATTTTGCCAAAACAAACTTACCTTTCAGTTCCATTTTCTATTAATTTTTTTGAAGTTCCCTCATATAAACTAGATAAAACCGACCAGCAAATATAAATTAGAAAGTGTGGCCACTTGGGGAGTGGACCAGCAGATGGAAGATCTCTCCCCGCACCCCGCCTACTTTGTGTGTGTGTGACTTTGTTTTTTAAACGAAGAAACAAATTAAAAAAAAAAAAAGTGATTTTGAAAATAATTTGAAAACCACACTGTTGACCATTGTCAAAAATCTGAAATTTCTCTACCAGCAGTGAATTGCTTTCTTTTTTTTTTTCTTTATTTGTTTATTTGAAAGACAGAGTTACAGAGAGAAGCGGGGGAGTGGGGGTGTCTTCCATCCACTGGTTCACTCCCCAATTGGTTGCAATGGCCAGAGCTACACCGATCTGAAACCAGGAGCCAGGGGCTTCCTCCTGGTCTCCACATGGTGCAGGAGCCCAAGCACTTGGACCATCTTCTACTGCCTTCCCAGGCCATAGCAGAGAGCTGGATTGGAAGTGGAGCAGCCAGGGCTCAAACCAGTGCCCCTATGGGATGCCGGCCCCAAGGGCCAGGGCATTAACCCACTGCACCACAGCGCCAGCCCCTGAATTGCTTTCATATAGTTCTATCGTTATTATTACTAGCCAATGAATCTCATCAAGAAGTCTGTATTTATACATATTCTGAGTTTTTTAATAAACCAGTAAAAATCACCATAAAGATGTTCATGAAATTTCAGATGCTGAAACCTGGGTGGCCATGACCTTGCACCTTAGCTCATGAACACAAAAGGTGGCATCGTCAGCATCTTGTGAGCAGGTGTGGCATGCACCAGGGGCAGGTACAAGGCCACCTTTGGCCACAAGAGAGGAGTCTGCTCATATCCAATGTGCCCCAAGGCCCCCGGTCCCCACAGCACCAGGGCTGGCCCCAGCGTGACTCAGGCCTCTAAATGAATCGAAGAGAGACACAAAGACACCTGGGGTAATGAAAGTGCCGTGCAGGCCTGGCTGGGGTGGGATAAGACCCCCGAGGTCCACTCTGTCCTCACCATTGAGTCACGTCAGCCCCTCGGGGATTTATCAGATACAAAGACACCGTTGCCTGCCTCCCTTAGCGCCCCTCTCTCTCTCTGCACCTCTCTCCCTGTCTTTTCTGTCCCTCCACAGCTCTAGGGCATCCAGGGGCAGGAGAGGCCCTCCCTGAACACCCTCAGGTCACCCAGAGCTTCTGTCTTAGCTGCTGATGGTGCAGTTGCTTGCAAAATTAATACTGTATCTCATTCAATTAACGCATGCCTCATTCCTCCTGAGCCTAACGTGATTAAAAGAATGTCGGGCGCCTGGCCCCTGAATATGAATGAGCCCTGCTCCCAGTCTGTGGCTAGCTCTGCCTCCCCGATGCTGAAACAGTCAGAAGATTAATACACAGCAGCTTGGTGTTCTTGTGCAGCTCCAAGGGAACCCACGAAGAGAGGAAAGAAAGAAAGGCTACGGGGCCAGAGCAGGGGCGTGCAAGGCTCCACCGGCTGCACCCCGCACCGGCTCTTACATAAACCAGGGATGCTCTGGGTTGGTTTGCAGGACCTTCAAGGCTGCCTTTGGCCAGGGCTGAAGGGCTGAACTTCTCTCAACTTCTCATTGAGGTGGAAAGTTCAGTCCTGGACATCCGGGTGCTGGACAAGTTCAAGAGCATCAGCGTTTTCTCCTTGCAGGCCAGTGAGTGCCGCTCTCTCGGTGTTAATTTCCCACCCACAGAGCAAGCACAGCCTGGTGCAAGAAGCAGCTGCCCTGTGCAGTTTGTTCTGTGGCCTATTGGCTACCTTTGTTGAATGTGATATTTTTTAATAAATAAAATATAAGTATATCAAAAGCAAATGTAGAGCTTTACTTTTCCTACCTCCTTATAAAATAAACCATAAAACCTAGCCCCCAGGAAGTCCAAACCAAAGACTCAGCTTACTCTGAATGGGCAGGTTATCCCTGATAATTAGATGTTTGTTAGCAAAAATGATGACCTGATTATGGATAAATGTTGAGGACGGACAACCTAGGCTGGTTGTTGTTTGTTCTTCTGGGTCTCTGTTGGGAAGAAAATCAACCAAAAAACAATAATGCCAGATGTTTATTCACCAAATATTTGTCAGGCTTAAGATAAATACCAAGCATCACGCTTCTCCCCAAGGACATGGATGTGAACAAAATAGATGCATCCCTTGGACTCTGAGACCTTGCTGTCTGGTGGTGCGTGAAGTGCTCCCATAAACAGTTGTGATGGAAGGTTAAAGACGCATTGAGAGGGCCGGCGCTGTGGCACAGTGGGTTAAGCCGTAGCCTGCAGCATCAGCATCCCATATGGGCACCAGTTCGAGTCCCAATTGCTCCACTTCCGAACCAGCTCTCTGCTATGGCCTGGGAAGACAGTGGAAGATGGCCCAAGTCCTTGGGCTCCTACATCTGCATGGGAGACCCAACAGAAGCTGCTAGCTCCTGGCTTCAGATCGGCCTGGCTCTAGCTGTTGCAGAACCAGCAGGTGGAGGACCTCACTCTGTATCTCTCCCTCTCTCTGTAGCTCTACCTCTCAAATAAATAAAATTTTTAAAAAGAGAGAAGCATTCTTGAAACAATATCCTCGAGTAATAACACCTGTTAACCGTGCGGGGCAAGGAAGGGTGTCAGGATCTAGATTCTTTTTCTTGTAAGATGTATTTCAGAGTAACACACGTTTGTGTCCTCCTTCCTAGTCAGCATCCCTTCTCAGCCACAGTGCAGCTGGGAGTCCTCTCTCCTAACCCCCGCCCACCCCTCTACTCTCCCTGCCCCACCCTCTGCCCTCTGCCCTCTGCCCTCTGCCCTCTGGCATTTCTCCTTAACTGTCTAACACCAATTGCCTCCCTCACCTCTCACACACAGTAGCTTTGTGTTTCCCCAGTCATCGCTCCGTCCCTGGAAGCTGAGTTTCCACTGAGAAACAGGCTGACCCAGGAATCACATCTGCAAAGGTGGTCTCCCCTCATTCTGAATCCCAGGAGAGCTGGGGGCCGGGTAAAGTTATCTTCATTAGTTACAGGAAGAAGGCCATGTGTGGGGTCCAAGCAGAAGCAGTTGGGGCTGCTTTTGCCTCCTTTTTGATGCTCAGAATCCATAGTGTTGTCCCCCAGGGCACTGGGACTCCCCAGCCCTTCCAGGACCCCAGCCTCGTCTACCCCAAGTCCCCCATGAGCTGCAGTACCAAGCCCAGTGCTCCCTGTGCTCACACCTGCCCGCAGGTATCCGGATGCTGGACCAGCCCTTCATGACGGACATCATCGAGGCCTCCTCCATCAGCCACATGCCCCAGCTGATAGACATCTACAGTGCCAGCTGGGGCCCCACGGACAACGGGAAGACGGTGGATGGGCCCCGGGAGCTCACACTTCAGGCCATGGCCGACGGCGTGAACAAGGTAAAGACGGCCCTGCCACTCAAGGCCCAGTGTGCTCCCAAGGTGGGACAGGGCAGGTGAAGCGGTGGTGACACTAGAGCAGGTGGATGGAGGGCAGGGCAGTGGGAGGGTGGGGCTGTTACCTTGGGTGTGCAAGGTGTAGGGACGAAGGGGCCTTGGAGGGAACTCCTGTGACGAATATAGCAAAGGGGCCAGGAGGGGGCAGGGGAGACATCAGAGGGAGGTGGGAGCCTGGCCCCGGACAGAGGGCTGCGGAGGGAGTGTCTCAGACCACAGGCCCGCTCACAGGATGCTCTGTCTGCATCTGCGGCCCGGTGATCCCTCTGCTCCGTGTCTACGGCCCAGTGTCCGTCTGCTCCGTGGTTGGTCAGGAGCAGCCCACAGGAAGCAGGGGCTCCGTGCAGACAGGCTGGTGGCTGCAGGAGGCAGTCCCTGGGACAGTGGCCCCCCTGCTCCCACAGCGGAGGTCTGAGCGATGCCTTTCCCTGGCCGCGGCTCCTGGAGAGGAGCCCGGGAGAAGGGACTGAGGCAGTGGCTCCTCAGGGAGGGCAGCCCGGAATCGAGGCGCAGTGGCCACCTCGTGAGAGGACAGAGGCTCCTTCCTTGGGGTCTCCGGGCAGGGCCAGGCTCGGGGATCAGAGTCTTCCAAGGTTCAAGCGCCCACCCATCACTCAGCGCTGAGCGTGAATCTGCGAGGGGCTTGACCTTGCTGCACCCGTTCTCTTCTTGCCGGTGCAATGGTGAGTCCTGGGGGGCTGTTGTCAGCTGTGCATGAGGTCAGCATGCACCCGTGTGGCACTAAGTGTCCAGCAAATGCCGGGTGGCCTGTCCCGGTCACTGCTGATTTGTTTCACAAGCCCTGTGCACCCCATGGGTCAGGAGGTTGGGCAGGGTGGGGTGCACATGGCATGTCTCTGCTCCCTTAGCAGCACCTGCACAGACGTTCTGATGCCCTGAGCTACTCACCGTACCCCTGAGCTACTCACCGTACCCCTGAGCTACTCACCGTACCTCACGCCACCTCCACTACCCGGTCATTCGTCTGGGGAGAGATTGCACTTGACCTCAGCTGACAGTGGTGGCTTCCCCGCGTGGCCAGTTTTTTCTCTGTGGTCAGCCATGAGGCTCTGACCACAGCGTGTGGGGAAAAGTGTCTGAAATTTCATGTGTGGACTTTTGGAACAGAATTGTAAGAATTATTTTTTAATTCTGCTCCTTGGATTCTGACAAGTTTCAGAGGAAATGTCTATAAGCCATATTTTGTTGTAGAACTAGCACTGTTGGCAATAAATCGCAAAATTCACCCAGTCTACATATATATTTAAATTACTTACAATCTGTATGTGGAAAACACATGAATCCATTACTTCCCAAATGGCCAAAGGGGCTGGAGCTGCACCGATCTGAAGCCAGGAGTCAGGAGCTTCTTCTGAGTCTCCCATGCAGGTGCAGGGGCCCAAGGACTTGGACCATCCTCCACTGCTTTCCCAGGCCATAGCAGAGAGCTGGATCAGAAGTGGAGCAGCTGGGACTCGAACCAGTGCCCATATTAGACACCGGCACTTCAGGCGGTGACTTTACCCACTATGCCGCACAGTGCCTGCCCCTGAGAGAAACAGAGAGAGAGAGAGAGAGAGAGAGAGAGAGAGAGAGAGAGATCTATCTGCTGGTTCACTCCCCAAATGGCTGCAACAACTGAAGCTGGGTCAGGCTGAAGCTGGGAGCCCAGAATTCCATCTGGGTCTCCCATGCCGGTGGCAGGTGTCAAGCACGTGGGCTGTCTGCCTCTGCCTTCCCAGGTGCATTACCAAGGATCTGGATCGGAAGCAGAGCAGGCAGGACTTCAACCAGCACTCGACTATGAGATGCTGACGTTAGCAGCAGCTTAACATGGGTTTCTAAACTTTTTTCCACCAAAGTAAAAGTATTTTAATTCCATTTTTCCATCCATGAACGTTACAAGTCACCCTCGTATGTCCTCATCAGGGTGATGGGTTGGAGGAACTACTTGATAACCAAGCCCCATGCTCTAGTTTGTCTCTGGGTTTCCAGAACAGAGACCCAGGGAGCTCAGCCACAGGGCTTCCTTGCAAGGATGCACAAGGAGGGACACTGGCCGTGCAGTTTGTGATGCTTTGTGAAGACCACTCCAGGAAGCACACAGCCTCCCCTTCTTAGAACAAGATCTGGCCAGACCCCTGTCACGTGGAAACGAGCCTGGGCCTCCGCCACAGTCACCTTGCCATCACCTGGCTTTCTCTTTTATAGCCAAGCTGGTTGGTCACTGATCCAATGACAACTTCTGTCTTCTCCTCCAGGACTCTGTGAGGTCTCCTTCCTCCATTCTCTAAGACCGTCACCCCAGTGGCACAAGCACACAGAAGCTCCCACAGTGGCCAGGCCTGGCCTGCAATTGACCCTCAGTGACACGTGGGTAGCTTGAAATTAGACACGGAAGTCAGCAAACACCAAACATGAAGATCTTTCTGTCCCCTTCCTGTCCCCTCCAGGGATCTGGTTGTTAACCATTTACAGCACACCCCTGAATGGTGGGGGTCTGCTGGCTCCCCTTAAACTGCGCCATTTCCAAGCTTGTATCTTCTCCTTATAAGGAAAGGGCACCAACACCCAAGTGAGTGTGGAGATTTCCTCTGGGCGGGGGAACCCTAGGAGGAAGAATAACTGAAACCCTGAGGATCTATGTCTCCCCACCAGAGTCTCAGGTCACCCCGAGACCATGGAGGGCCAAGCGAAGGCCTCACGTCTCAGGAGACTCAGCACTCGCAGGAAACCCGGGGATGCCGGGACATAGCCATGGAATGGGAAGCGGAGTTCTCGATGTGAACAGCACTGTGCCATTGGCTAAACACCGACGGTGACCCCCGCATGGCGCTCACGTGGGAAAGAAGTGAAGTGATGTGTTACTACAGCGTTGTGCAGACCGCTGTGGAAGTCCAGCCCCTCTGAAGCAGGGCCGGACACTCGGGTGGCATCAAGCGCTTGACAGAGGGTGTCACCAGCAGGGTGGCAGGGGAGGGGGACAGAGCACAGGGGACAGCAGGTGTGCTGCCGGCCCGTTTCAGTGCCCTGGCTCCTCAAGGTGCCTTTAGCCTGAAACTCCTAACACACACAGCTCGTTTTCATCACACTGTATTCACTGTGTGATTGGAGAGAAATGACACGTTCCAAACCAAGCACCGGGAGTCAGCAGGCACCCAGGGGAACACCTGGCTCATGTCCCCTCTACCCCAGCAGGTGTAGATTTTCACTGAGGCATATTTTGGGCACCCAAAGCCAAATAAAAATCAGGCAAATAGGCCCTGTGGGCCCTTCATCTAGACTCAAAAGGCAGATGGCGCTGAGGGCAGTGCACCCCTGGGTGGCCCCTGCCACCTCCCAGGGACTTGTGAATGGCTCCAGTGCATCTCAAAGCTGGCTGTTTCTTTCTCCTCCATCTGTGGCCTTCCTGGCTGTAACTAGAGGCCCTTTCCAGCATGATCATTTTGCAAAACATGCCAAGCACGCTACAACTTGAGAGAAGAACTGTTAATTCGTCTTCAGAGGACAGCATGTAAGTATTTCAGAAAGTGAAATCAGTAGGATGGAAACTACAAGATTCCTCATTTGACTTTCCCCAGGCTGTAGGAATGATTCTTTCCTCATTTCAAGCTTTTTTTTTTTAATGATATTGGAGAAATTTGCGAGTGAAGGGTGTCGGATACATCAGCAAAGATTTCCTTCCAGCCCTCCCATTGTCCTGTCTATTCTACAGGAAAACTACCTCTGAAAGGTAAAGGTCACCTAAACAAAGGGGTCAGATTATCCCCTGTTACACACCAACACTTATGATGAAAAAGGAAGAAGAAATAGAAGAAGGCAATAAAAGACCTTATCAGGATATGCTGTCTGCCACGGTCCCCACCATTCCTTAGGTGGGACCTGCTTCCTTAGGGATTGGGTTTGCAGCTCCTATGTGTGCTCAATGAGTTTAAGATTTATTTATTTATTTGAAAGAGTTACAGAGAGAGAGAGAGAGAGAGAGAGAGAGAGAGAAAGAGAAAGAGAAAGATCTTCTATCCACTGGCTCACACCCCAAATGGCCGCAACGGCCAGAGCTGTGCCAATCCAAAGCCAGGAGCCAGGAGCTTCTTCCAGGTCTCCCACATGGGTGCAGGGGCCCAAACACTTGGGCCATCTTCCACTGCTTTCCCAGGCCATTAGCAAAGAGCTGGATCAGAAACGGAGCAGCCAGAACTCAAACCTGCACCCATATGGGAAGCTGGTGCTTCAGGCAGAAGCTTAACCTACTACATCACAGCACCAGCCCCTCAATAAATTCTTGAGGCAAACAGACAAGAAGAAAGGAAGGCCGGTGCCGTGGCTCAATAGGCTAATCCTCCACCTTGCAGCGCCGGCACACTGGGTTCTAGTCCCGGTCGGGGCGCCGAATTCTGTCCAGGTTGCCCCCCTTCCAGGTCAGCTCTCTGCTGTGGCCCGGGAGTGCAGTGGAGGATGGCCCAAGTCCTTGGGCCCTGCACCTGCATGGGAGACCAGGAAAAGCACCTGGCTCCTAGCTTCAGATCAGCGCGATACAGCGGCCGCGGCGGTGATTGGAGGGTGAACCAATGGCAAAAGGAAGACTTTTCTTTCTGTCTCTCTCTCTCACTGTCCACTCTGCCTGTGAAGAAGGAGAAGGAGAAGGAGAAGGAGAAGCTTTTTTTCCCTTTGCTTAATATTTTTAATATTTTTGCCTTTAATTTTACAGTCCACATGTTGAGTTTACAAGCTAAAGCCTTTGTCACATTATACTTGGGATGTGAGTGACAGAGACTCCTGACATGACACCCGATGATTAACTGTTTGTGATCCCCCAAAAGCAGACTCTGCAACAAGATTTGCAGTCAAGTCATTTGGTGGGAGGGAGAAGGAAAACCAGCAGTGACTGGGCAGCTCCAAGAGGGGACAGTAGGGTAAGTGCAGGCTGAGGCATCAGGCCAGGT